ACCACCATATTGGCCGCTATTGGGTTCCGCCCCTCTCGCATGAGGGGTCCAAGACCAAATGTATATACCAAATTGATTTGCTGTCACCTAAAAATGCTTCAGACAAAATTTGGGAGTTACTCATTTATTCGTTCGGAAGAGATAGGATTTTAAAGAACTAGGAAAAAATCCCTTTTTGGCCCCGCCCCACAGGCAACGGAGGTTCGATAGTTAATGCTTATCTTTATACCTGAAGCAGTGATTTGGCAAAACTTTTTAAAATTGAAAGATGAATTTGTTCCATATATATATTCAAAATGGCATGGCAATTATAGTGATAAAAGTACCGACAATTAATAAAACGAAAAGATATTTCCAAAGTTCGTAGACTAAATGTGTAGTTTGCAAATGCATACTCGAATCCATCATGACACACCACGGCTCGCACTGTAGTTTCATAATTTCATAGACATGATATGTTTACTCAAAATAACAAAATTATCCTGAAACCTTTGAAAGAAAATTTGAAATGTATTTCAGAATTACTGTCAGTTCGCATCACCTGATACATTAGCTAAACAGAATAGAATTGTTTGTTGAAGATAAGGGTTGCATAAGAGTTTTATTGAATAAATAACTATTGTAATGGTTTTATAAACTCAAAGTAATACAATTTCCTCAAATCTCACAAGCGAATTACACACAGAATTCTAATATCTGTCTGCAGATCTGATATTGTCTTTACCACTTATCCGTGGAAGGTCATTGCTTTCTAAAAAGGTCGTTCTAATTCGTTTAAAATAGAACAGCCGCAGCTTCGTACAAAATTACCTAGATGACGAAATAGATAGATATATATATTTACTTTGTATTTATAGCACGCGAGTCTTAAAGTCACCTGAGAGAATATAATGTTTTAAATGTTACTACCTATCAGGATTTCGCATATTTCTAGCAATTCTGAAGCCGTTCATATGCCGTCCTGGGAACCCACCTCATGTTTGAGTTAAGTACGAGGCAAAATTTGCATACATTGAAAGTGGGATTTAATAGAGACGTGAAATATTCATTCAGTTTTGAATGTGACCTTGTATTATGTATATTATGTGGAAAATCTAGCAATGACGTTCTTACATTTTATTTTGTCTTGTTTCTTATTTGTATTGTTTCAAAGTCGGAATGTATTGATGGATGGTGTGTTGAAAGCGAAATGTATATACTGAAACGTCAGCATTATTCACGGGTTTTATTTTGTTTGTCGGTGGAATTTGATTTTGGGTTGTTTTTTTATTTTATTTTTTTTTTTTTTTTTTTTTTTTTTATTTGCTTGTGTGTTTTGTTTTTATGGTACATATATATTTATGGCTCTACCACGGGTTGGGACAAAAGGTTTGTACGTTTTATTTTCAACGTGTGTGTTTGTTTTTAATTCTTCTTCATTTATTTATTAATTCATTCATTTTTTTTTTTTTTTTTTGCTGTTTTTCTTTTCCATTCTCGCGATAACGAGTTCTCGTGAAATTCCCATTTACAGTATGGCACGCAGTGTAAGCTAGTGCTCAATCTCTAACGGTAAATGTGTTGCTTTTCATAGCATTCAGGTAAACATGTGAACAATTATCTTACGGCTTCGCGGCATTTTTGTGGAACATACGGCTGTTTCATCTTTTTAGGGCTAATGTTGAAATACAGAAACCGAATGGCGAAAATCGCAAAACATGGAACGGGTTAAAGCAGTGATATTTGTTATTTGTAAATGGGTGATCGAGTGACGTAGTGGTAACGTACATGCCTTTAACCTAGGCTTCCGGAGTTCGATCCCCTGATCAGACGTGAAAAGGTGTGGAGTCACCTGCCCAACTATTTGGGTTTTTTTCCCGGGTACTCCGGTTTCCTCCTATTGTGAGGCCTCTCGCGCGCTTTTATCAAATTCAAAAAGAGGTGAAAGTTTTTTTTTGCAATTGTTGTAAAATACATAAAATGCTTATTTTCTGTTTTGATTTGTAAATTGTTTAAAGTGTATACTTCGGGACAGTTAAATGTATGTGAAAGCATGAGTGTCAGATTAAAATAATTACATGAATGTGTTTGTTTGTATAAAACATTGATACAATGTGTTTGTTTGTATAAAACATTGATACAATGTGTTTGTTTGTATAAAGCATTGATACATTGTGTTTGTTTGTATAAAACATTGTTACAATGTGTTTGTTTGTATAAAACATTGATACAATGTGTTTGTTTGTATAAAACATTGATACAATGTGTTTGTTTGTATAAAACATTGATACAATGTGTTTGTTTGTATAAAACATTGATACAATGTGTTTGTTTGTATAAAACATTGATACATTGTGTTTGTTTGTATAAAACAAATAAAATTTACTTATCTTTGAAAAAAGTTACTTAAACATCGTTAAAGTACAAGATGGTGTAATATATCAAAATGCAAAGTAGATTGCAGTTATCTACCCCTACTTCCGACTGTTAAATTTTGTTCTTATCAACACTTGACTTGATACGAGTTTATAATGTACGATTTCAGGACACAGCTGACGTCACTGTTGTCTGACAGGCTATTATTTATTTTGTATTCGTTGATATATTTAGCTCCTTGCCTTCACAGATAACTTATTACACATTCACTTGGAAATAGTGGGATATTTCTATCTGTTTGATAACACGTGTCCAACTCTATACATCTTGTACCTACTAAATGACAAGGCAAGATTAGACAACTCTTCTTATCAGGGGAGATAACTGTGTCTTGCTGTGAAGAGGAGATAACCCAGATAAAGTATATTTTCAAAATTAGAATAACAAATCTCATTATCACGTCTGATTTTGGATTTAATATATCTGTCGATCAAAGGTGAATGTCTGCTGTTTCTATCTAATAGTGAGCCTGCTGTAATTCATGTCCTTTAAACAGGATACACTGTTGCATCATTCTAACTAATTTTTTTTACTAATAAACCGATATACAGTTTGACATGAACAACATAATACTAATGATTACAATGGATGCTATCTTATACAGAATAAAACGAAATCAGAATTTAAACATTGATCTCAAACTACAGCCTCGGTCGATATTGTCATATTATCAAAAAAAGTAGGTTGACCTCATCAAGCTGCTATAGGATTAAAGTCAGTCGATATTTTGCATAATATCATATTCGGTTGTAATTGGAACAGAAATGAGATACCACCTGGTCGAAAAAGGATACTAGTGGCCAAGAAAGTATTTGGAAATTAATGTTTAATAAAGAGTTTTTGGTACACTTCATATTTCAAACATGATTTTTTTTTGTTTTTTGTTTTGTTTTTGTTTTGTATGGGACTTTTATTAAGGACATGGACTAATCCTAAAGATACCGTAGTTGAATAGAAATCTCACAGATTGGATCATGTTTGGCCCCCGGGCCTGCCAAGGTTACGACGGGGTGACGTAGAGGGAAAGTAAATCTGGCAGACCTGAATGGGGCACTTGCGCAATAACAATGAAAAAGGCACGGATTTCAATGTATTAAAAAGATATGCATGGGAGTGATTTTTTTCACATTGATTATTATAGAGAAATAAAGCGTATTTAACGGACGGGTTTAAATGCTCAGTTATTAATTAGTCTTTTCGTTTTAAATTAATTTTGATTATCATATATTATATATAGATGAAAAAATAGAAGAATATTTTTATGTAGATTTTTTATAAGTGTGACCCGATTAATTTGAACTGAATTGTTATTCCTACTACGGTATGTAAACATGACACATTGATGAATGTGATATGATACAATACAAACAAAGTTGTATGTTGCTAACACATACAGAGAGGTGAAACTGTATATATAGGTGTACAAAATGTTATTTAAAGTCAACAATTCAATAAAACATGTTTAATTATTATGATCTGACGATATTGCAGATATTTGAAGGGAAGAAACATCTTTTGAAATTCTTAATTCATATACAGTTTGAATGTTACCCTTGTTCTTAATTCATCGATGTTTTCAATCTTCTGATAGAAATTTACTTAAAATGCCATTTAAGAAAATTATGTGAAAATTGACTCGTAGTATCAGAAAATTAGACCAGTAAAATCTATCACCAAACAGGACATAACCATGTTAAATAACTAATCCTTTTCTGATATACATGAAACCAGCAGTGAACATTTTATCGGATTGGGGGAAAAGGGCTGTCGTTTAACACACGTTTCTATGAGTGTTTAACAACATAGAAACTAACTTACATATATGTTTTGCACTTATCTATACCGAATGTTTTCTACGATAAGACCTTTCTGCAGGTCTTGCGTCGGTACCTGCTGTCTTATTTACACGGTCGTAAGAGGAAACAAGACTTGATATTTGTATCTACTCATTGCCTCTACCCAAACAACCACTTAGAGATTCCTAAATATTGCCTTCTTTCAGTAATATCGTATAACGTTTGCCCATGATGAAAGGGCTTTAGATTTCGTCCCGAGGACATGGTATATCACAGTCATCAAAGTATGCAATAAAATGTTCACTATTGCCCTACTGAGTGATACATTTAGGAGGATATAAGTTTTGGAATACGATATCTTTTCTCTCATTTTCAAGTTTAACCAAAAGTTGAACGTTCGTTACTATACGGACGTGTTTGTGTTCTGCCCACTTACCGACACATACCAGTCTTTTAACGCTCATTATTGTATTGGAATAGCGACTCCTTCACCCGTTGTCACTGTATTATAACTAGGCTGGGTGTCGGTCTGGAGGTCTTCTGTAGAGTACATACTTCAGTGTGGCAGAACTATCACAAGGACACTTATCACACGCATTCAACACGTGCACCTAACTCACATACACCGGGAAAGTGCACTGAAATGACCATTGTTGTTGATATGACGTTAAACAATATAAAAACAAAACTAAAACATATAATTCACTACTTACATTTTCATTGTGTTATCTTAAGGTTGATATTCTGGAGGACTGAATTTAATATTTGATTAAATATCTATATTTACAGATACTTGGCAGCCACACAGCTACAGTCCACCGACGCTCGTAAAGTGTTCCCTTGTTTTGACGAACCCGATATGAAAGCCACTTTCAAACTAACCATACAACACGAGGAAGGTTTGATTCTATACTATTTTTTTCTGTTTATTCCGATATCTTGACAAAGACATGACACAAAATTTGTTTTTAGGAAACTTCTGATTCAATAACCCATTAAAAGATAAACTTTGGCATTAAGAATCTGTCTTTGTTAAGAAACCGATTTGTCAAAAAAATATATGTTTTTCAGCCGTGAATAATACAAATGGTTAATGTTCACTATCTTTTATTATTTTAACTTAACAGATACTGTATCGATTTTACCCAAGAAAATTGGGTATAAAAGTGTCGCGCGACTAAAAGACATGAACGGCTTCAAATGTGTTTCATCATAATTACAAAACAAACTTTCAAACCGTTTATTTCAACCATGATGATTCCTCTCCTTTAAATTTTTCACATCCTACTTATGTTAAGCATATCCAATACCTCTCGTCTCTTCCATCCTTTCGACATGCAAAGTTCTATACAATTCCGTTACTTTCGCGATGTTGGTTTTCGGTAGGTTACACTGCCCTTAGCAACATGCCAGTGGAGTCGGAACAATACCTTTCGACAGAACCGGGATGGCTGCGAGTAAACTTCCATGAAACTCCGATTATGTCGACCTATTTACTGGCTATTGTGGTGTCCGACTTCGTGTACAAAGAGGCCATCCTTGATGGGAATTATCAGGTAAGATTATTATTGGACTTACACCAGGATTTGTTATGTGGGTAAGGGTCACATTAGAAAATAGATCATCGATTTCATAAGCAATTACTTCATTGTTTTTATGAGTGTGTCTTGCTAACGTCTCCAGATTACGCCTTTCCAGACTGTACGCCTATAATGTTCATATTTATCAATACATTCCAGTGTGATGACACTATAATTTCATGCACATACTACCCGATACATTCCAGTGTGATGACACTATGATGTCATGTGCAGACTTATCGATACATTCGAGTGTGATGACAATATAATGTCATGTACATACATGTCGATACATTCCAGTATGATGACACTATAATGTCATGTTCAGACTTATTGATAAAATGTTCGCATTGATATCATATAAAACAACATGTTTCCTTAATTAAGTAGTTGTGAGAAAAAACATAGTTATATGTAAATTTAGATGTGTTATATTGGTCATAAGAATGCAAAGTACAATTACTTCTGTCAAAGGATAGGGAATATTCAAATTTCTCTCGATTGCTCCGACCAGGAATCAATCCCAGATCTCTGGCGTGATTATCGACCAGTTCTACCAACTGAGCCAAAGAAGCACCCTACGTCAGCCGAGTGACAGAGACCGCATTTAACACTATATACAAGTCACACAAACCCATTCCTATTACACTACTCCCCCGTTTTCCTAAATCTCAACTTAAGACTCCAGATGCATCTCCTGGGATTTCGTTGGTACATTTCTAGTTCTATGAAGTTGGTATTTAAATGTACATTTGCAAATATATTCGGAATATATTATATATTCACACTCATTTTGTCTGTAATTACTATAGGACTTACCAGAACGAATATATGCTGAGAGGAAAAAGAAACGCAAATAGGAATGTCCAGGTCAACTACGGGAAATAGAAAAGGGTTTTAGAATGTTATTATGATGTCTCTGGAAGATAGTTGACCACTCTGTCATCTACGAGAATTTCATTCGTGTACGTTAAGTAAACCTTTCAAATTTGACGTTGATTCAAGAGTACCCCACTCCAAATGAAGTGCGTTCAGGACCCATCAATATCGTGTGTGCCCCCCGCGAGCTGCAGTAACTGCACGAACTCTTTTGTGCATTGAATTGATCGGGGTATTAACCCTCCTCATTGGTATACGATACCATTCCTCATCCAGCGCCAACGCCATCTGAGCGACGTTGATTGGAGGATTCGGCCTAAGTCTTATCTTTCTGTCCAACTTGTCCCATAAATGTTCTATTGGGGAGAGGTCAGGGCTGTATGTGGCCAGTCTAGGGTGGGGACATTGTTTGCTGCGAGATAACCACGGCAAACCCTCGCTACATACGGCCGGGGGTTGTCCTGCTGAAACGTCAGTTGACGCTGCTGTACTAGAGGAACAATATGCAGCTATCTCTATGGCGGACGGCCGAGAGATTTCCCTGAATAACGACCAGAGGAGTCTTGATACCATGTGCAATCCCATCCCATACCATGACCGATCCTCCTCCGAAGCGGTCATTCTCTATCACGCAAGCATATGCATAGCGCACGTGGGTACGTCTATAAACACGACGTCGGCCGTCTGCCCGGTAAAGAGTGTTCCTTGCTGTTTCCGTGGCCGTCAGAAAGCGCTTGCGTCTGCTTCGGGGACGGTCTGCAACCCTTCCGGGGCCTGTAGTCTTTGGATGAGACGGCAAATTTCGATGGATGGACTCCAAATTGATTAGCGACCTGATTTTGCGGGGTACCTTGCATAAGAAGTGCAATGGCACGACCCCTGTCAACTTCGGACAGTCGTGACATTTTTTACGGTGAACTGTTTATGCTTAAAATGTGGGAAATCAAGACAGATGTGTCTGTAGATTCGCACACACAAATTTTGAACCTATCCTTTATACTGGGTTTGAGATATCGTGGTTTTGTCTCTTATTCTTTTGTACAAGCGGCGTGCGCAGTTTAGTTATGCATCAGTGATTTTAATACGGTACCATAGGGACCTAACTCAAATGCACACATTTGTCAAGTTTCAAGGGTGTACGTCAAGGATTTAATTTACAGTATCAACTTTCTGCTAATTGCGTTTCTTTTTCCTCTCAGTATAGTATTTGATAGCCGTTTAAAGAGTCTCGGTACGTTTCATGCTTGAAATATGTAGTGCCTGAACTTTCCATTGATACATCCCGAACATCTCGAAATTTGAAAGCGGAAGTTTGAGATTATCTTTTTTATTTGATTTCGGCAGTAATATTTATATAAGGCAGGTTTATCGAGACACTGTATATAAATATTATGATTGCTAACATCACTAGAGTCTGAAATGGACAAGATATGCCTGAGCAAGCCTGTTATGAATAAACTAGAGAGATCCGAATGATCTTTATACGCCATTCATTACTGTTGAAAGATATCTTTTAAACTGATAAGTCTATGTTGAACGCAAAATGCAGAAGATGTTTTGACAGTAAGAAGATAACCCAGCTGAAACTTATAAACATATATCTAGTTTTAATAGTCATTGAAACGAATTAAAACAGTCATGCTGCAATATGATAAAAAAGATTACATATTCGAACGTTTAATATGTAAATGTCTACATAATTTGTTCCATATCTTTTTTATACAATATATTTTGAAACGAAATTGAACATTCTCTTTAGCATTTCCCTGAATATGTTGCTAAAATAAAGTCTAAATTTTGTTATCAGTACGAAACCTCTGCCTATTGCTGATTGTCTTATAAAAACGTCTATTATTTGAAATGTTACATCTGTGTATACTTTATTTAACAATAAAAGGAGATAAACGATTCGACATAAATATATCATTGTGTGGTTATAACCCTAACAATGCATAAACAGGAGGGTTAAGCTAACATCACTTTTAACCACGAGGGGCTGGTATAGTTGTACAGTATTTAATGTAATGGCCGTAGATTCAGAAGTATACATGTGTAGCAGACAGATATACATCTGTTGTAATGAACGTATACAGACTGGAACAACCTCCCCCGCTTACAGAACGGTAATTGATATAGGCAACGTCACAGCTCCCTCACATGCATGAAGGTCATAACACTTTCCGCCAATGCAAACAAACATGTAATCAATTGACTCCGTGATGCGGAAAACAGACCGACATTGTTTCGTCCAGGCTAAACAACTGCGAATCATGGATCTGATAATTGAAATTTGATAATGCACAATATAACCCGTTGTTTGTTAAAAGTATATTTGATCGTTCAAGGCAATATATCATTTATGTCCCCACCACTTTATAGGGCGGAGTATTGGGTTTTCCTTGTCCGTCCAGTATATTGCAACTCGTCCTAAAGCAATGCTGTATCTTTTGTACCGCTCAGTAGGTTTGGTATCTATGTATTCACAGTATCACAACACTCCACATGTTTCATTGTTGCAGCGATTCCTTATATCAGTAGTGCGCGAAATTCTATTATATTTGGACCGCAATGTGATGACCATTATCGCTTCTCCACAAGAAATTGTCATCTTTTTTCTATAATGTGCAGACATTTCTTTAATTAAAGTTAGGAACAGAAATTGATCATCCCTTGTCGTATTTTATAACAAAAAGAAAATACTAATATGTGAACAGAGCCATATTCCGAACTCAAATTCAATAAAATCAAGGCAAAATTTAAACAACAAAAAATGTTTTTACGGGAAACAATGTACAGGGAAAATAAAACCAGGTGTTCCGGAAGAGTAAACGCCTTCTGCTCTATCGGATAACACCACAACGCCTACCATGTAAATCCTGGTCACTCCAAGTAACCAGTTGTCCAGTGTCCTGTTCTCAAAAGAGAACACTGAAAATAACAACAGAACCAATAGGTAAAGAAACGAGCATCAGACACATCCAGCTCCATATTGCTTAATGAAATAGAATATAGATCGATTTTAACCAGGATTTCATCGTTCAATAGTATTACGTAATTAACCGACATATCTAATAGGAAATTATGCGTCAGTAGAGCATTTTCGGAGCTCTCCTGAGACAAATATCGACCAAGCATGCATACATTGATATAAGTTCTGACGTATGAAGAATGACTGGCAGTCCCTGACCTTTTCCCAACAATCATCAATCATTTCCGTGGTCTGAAATACTGGACAGAGAGAAAAAAGCTAAATTCAAGAATCTGAAGACAAAGGTCATTCTGCTATATTTGAAAACTATCCGAATATTGACTGTAAAATGTGCACGGGTTCATGTAGTAAATTTCTGATGGCTTTTTGCTACAAACTCATTAAATATCCTTTGTTTAACTTATTTTTCCATGTTTGATTAGATTTAAAACAAAATAAATATATACAATAGTTTATAAATAACTTCAGATTAGAGATAGATCTCTTCTTTTGAAAGCAACCGTAAAAACAAATCATAATTGCTAGCAGCCATTCTGTCACATCTAACTTATATATTCGTCATTAGCATTTGCAGAATAAATTAATGACGTGAAGATCGTTTTCGTGTCATTTTCATAATAAGGATCTAATACAGCAGCGGAAACGTGTCTGTAGGCAATAAAACAATGCTATATTATCTAACTTGAGTCAATGATATTCAATGGTTCTTCCTTACTATCAATGCGTTCGGATATGGTGTTGGGAAGGAGATGGCTGTCAGCAGTATACTTCCGTATGATTACACTATAAAGTCGATTTCTATTCCAAACTATCATAAGACTTGTATTGTATGTATTGCATTTTCGCCAAAAATACAGTTTCATCACATGCCCTCACCTCACATACATAGGGAGGCTTTAAGTAGTATTTCACTCTTATAAAACCAAAGTAAATGCTAACGGAGGGATATTACCAGCTAAGAACCTATTGGCGTCGTTTTTTATCGTCCTAAGCTTAAATACGTCTATCTGTTCCTAAATAAATTATGGGAAGAAATCTACAGACTATTTTGTAAATAATATATTTTGTTTACATAAGATATAGAACTACAGTAAGACCTCTTTTTTTCGGTCTCGAAGACCCTATATAATTCGAAGTACAATGTATTTCGTCAGTCCTTCAAAACTTCACATTTAACATTCTATATCATTAGATCGGATAATCGGATAACTCGAAGTTTCCTAAGGTCCCATCGACTTCGAGATAATAAGGTTTCACACAGTTTATTTTTGTATATAGAAGCTCATATCATATCTGCAGTCAGGTTAGTTCATATGATATTTTCACATCAACTTCCTTTGACTTCGTAAACTTCTTGTATGAAAACATATATTTGATGTGATTAGATTAGATTATTTTCTAAACAAAATTTGTCAAATTACTTCGGTAACATTTTTGCTTAATGATAGAAAGGTTGGACAGTATTGTCCTTGGGGTGTCTTCGTTTCCCTCAGGCTTTCTACTGCTCTGCCAGCTCGATTAATATTTTATGACGTCATTGCGTTATGGTTTGATAACTGACTAACAAAAACTGTTATTGACATTGATCCTAAGTTTTAAACATTCATGTGATATTGTTTCAGTTACGGATCTGGTCCCAGCCGAACAAGATAAACCAGACGCTTTATGCTCTCGATATTGGAATACAGCTGTACGATTACTTTACCAACTACTTCCAGATCACAGACGTCGTACCGAAGGCCGGTTAGTAACGACATTTTTGATTGGCCAATCAGATTTTGTCCAAACAGTAAATTGGCACGTATTAGGATCACAGCACTGAATATAACAAATATTTTTATTGGTTCCAGAGAAATTATTTATCTATTAATCACTAATACCTAACGAAATACACAGTAACAAATGTCTAATTTTACTATGAATAAATGCTATTTTGACAGGATTTTAGCCAAAACATTCATTAACACGGTTGATGAAATCATATAATTTTACCAATCTGTCTTAACAAGTTAACGTTTTCTGGTTTAATGCACAATTTGTTTTCATTATAATTTGGCAGTTTTATATATCTGGAGGAGAACTATGTAAAATTGTTATATCAATATTTTAATGCATTTTCGAATGATATGTCTCTTCTAATAAATAATAATCATTATTGAAAAGATTATCTAACGTATATTACGGAGACCATATTTTCCTTTCAGAGACTGTATTTTTAGCGTGTCCTTTCTGTTCTCTTTCTAGATCATGTAGCCGTGCCTGATTTTAGCGGAGGTGCTATGGAGAACTGGGGTCTCGTGATTTATCGTGAGACTGCCCTTTTGTTTGACCCGGATGTCTCTTCTAGTGAGAATCAGTTGATGGTTACATTGATCATTGCACATGAGATCGCACACACGGTACGCAGTATATCAATATAAATGTTTTCTACAACTGTTTCTCTGTGACTGAGATCTATTATCGCTGTTTATAAGTCACATTCCGGAGACTCGCAAATCAAAACCAAGAGTATGACTATGTTTGTTATTTGACACAGACTGGATAATCGAGGACACAATTGTTGTATCATTATTTAATGTTCCGATGATATACGTTCTTTCGCGTCGTGGACAATGATGTTGATATTTACAATGGCAGTTCTCAATAATTCGCCTAACGTTTGAAGCCTAGCAGGCGACTGAGGAAAAATCGAAAGGTATCGAAAAAAACCATCAAAATTATATGGGAAAGTGCACTTTTAATAATTTAATTAAGCTCGGTTGTATCTGATGATTTCAGAACAACGTCAAGTAAATATGTATAATCTGTACCATGTCACTACTCAAATGAAATATAATGTGGCATATAGGTTACGACAAACCTCGGAGACTTTCATATGTGTCCTGTATTGATGCCATTACCATGAACAACCTTTTAACTCTCACAAGTTTTGACGGCCTTGACATAAAAGATCACTGTTTCTAAGAGATAACTGTAAAGGTTGTTGTTTTCAAAGGATGTTTTTTGATGATGTATTGAAATAGAAAAGATGATAAAATGAAAAAAATATATAAACAAAAATCCGTTTAATAATCTCTCTGAAAAATGAATCCATTTTCTTCAAATGTTTGACAAAATCACGAAGATTTGAATCCATTAAACAAAATTGACAGTGAAATGATGATGGCTATCAGTTATTGACTCTTATGGAGGTCAATACCTGGTTATATAAACCTAGGAAAGGATATTGACCGATGATTACTATTTTCACTTTATCAGTGGTTCGGTAACATGGTAACCATGAGGTGGTGGGATGATCTCTGGTTGAATGAAGGATTCGCGAGTCTGCTGATGTACTTCGCCATGGATCACGTGTTTCCGGAATGGGAAGTGGTTAGTATGGCATAGTTTCGCACAAGTTATATCAGTAGCCTACCATGTGTACATGACAAGATGCATATTATACCCCTTCTGAAGGTTTTTAAGGCGATACTTTTGGATATGAAAACCTATTATATATTTATGTAGAATATTAATTTCAGTCATCGCACAGTTTGTACTGTCTTCCGGTTGCTGGAAGTCATTTAGCTTACAAAACAATGCTGATATATGAAGTCCAATATACTGTAAGTGTATAGCTACCGATTTTGTTCTGGTTTGTATATGTATGTCATTTACGACAGCTTAGCAAGCAACATGTCAGTTATAGTATAGAAATTGATAGTTCAAAAGACGTTACTTCTTAATTCCGTGAATAAACTGATATTAAGAAGAAACTACAGACCATTCAGTGCTACAAGTGAAGTTTCACGAATCCATTCTTATTAATCAAGTTAGTACTAAGTGGCGACATGTGTCATCATTCGTATTCATGAGAGCTAGATTTAAAACTAATCTTTGCAACATAAAAATGGAATATATGTTGAATCAACTATAAATAGAAAGTAGAGTTTAGTGCGATACCTGATTTGTAAGTGGTTTATGTAATTGTTTGGACATTTCCATGGTCAGCAGAATGAAACACATTTCATGAATGGTACATTTAACGGATTGGTTTACTAATCAAAGTGTCCATTAGTATTACGCAATATCCCGAGTTTATTGTCAAGACTAACATGTTGTTCCGCGCAAATCAATACACAATTTCAATGAACACGGATATTTTCCTTTTTATATTTAGTTTTATAATGGTGATTTGCTTTGTCTCAAAGGACAAAATCATTAAATCACTTAATAGCATTACTTACAACAATTTTCCGCTATATTTTAAAGATTTTATTGATATATTGAATGTCTTAACATTAGAGATAAAATTCTTTTCTTTATAGTTTACTCTGCATGTAGTTGTGAAGGAAGTGTTTCCAGTCATGGTTCGGGATGCTCTTACTACGTCACATCCTGTTTCAACACCTATTCTTACACCTGATGATATCACACAATCATTTGATGCCATTTCCTATAGTAAGGTAAATTGTAACGTTTGATAAATATTGATTCAGAATGAGAATCATATAAACGGCACTTTCAATTTTGATTGAATACAAGTCCTAATTTCGAGAGTGAAACCTTTCTTGCTTGCCGTAAAACATGTTTTTCATTAGCCATTTCAGTCATAAACCGATTGAGATAACATGGAAAATGACGTTACGTAAAGAATTGAAAATGGCGCAAAAATAATTTGGATTTTGTTATGCTCATTTGACTTTAAAACATGCCAAATGTACCTCTTCTCAGATATGTGATAAACTTCTATCGGAAAGATGTTTTCTGTTTAGTTTGCGATTTAAAAATAATTCATCCCCATGTTTTAATTTGTGCTCACAAAAGTCCAATAAAGAAATAAAAAAAATCATTTTAGATCCTATATATGCACAGCTCATTTATCTTAAGTATTATTCGCTATGTTTGCATTCTTAATTTTTGTTTATAGTCATAAATCAACGAAAAAATAACGCTTACTATGCAGTGTTGTACTGTGTATGGGTGAAAGGCATTTAGGTGTACACTTTTTTCCCTATTCGGTCGAACGGCAAAGACTTTCTTTAAAATGCTGGCATCATTTGCGTGGTCTCTTAATTTTTCACTCATAGGAATAATGTAAAATTATTATACTGAAATATTTAACGACTAATTCATATTGAATGTGTTTTAAATTGTTTACTTCATCTCAATCAATGCACAAACAGACACACTAATTATAAAAATTATTTTCTTATATAATCAATCAAATTTCTAGGGAATGGCGGTCTTAAGAATGTTGCTGGGCTTTGTTGGATGGGAAGAGTTCAGAACCGGTTTACAGGTATGTTATATTGTAGTGTTCTATGGGTTAAGTAAGATTGATCTTCTTGTCTAAACATACGTTTAGTGTAATCACTTCACTGGTTTTTTGTGCGATAGGTAGTCATGATTCATATTAGATATTGACTCGAAGTCTTCATTTTTGTAATTTTAACAGGAAGATTTTCGATGCCAATGTAACATAGCTTTCCAATGGAGGATCCACTAAGATAAAGCTAGATTAACCTTGAAAGTATTTTTTGAGACTATTTGTTTGGGTTCATTGACATTAGCTGAGCAATAAAGTCTCCATTTGTAAAATTACTACGGAAAATGAGAAGGAAGAGCATGAAAAAGAACATCGTTTCAGTAGCTGATTTCCATGACAAAAACATATCGCAACATTAAAAATATGAATAACAGAGACAATTAAAAGTCGTTTAAGGAATAATCGATACTGTAATTTTAATTATGTATTTGTACAAAGGACATATATTTTACCTAGAAACGGTTGTCATGGAGACACGTATTATCTTCCAGGCTATAGCTTTTATACCGTTTGCTGTTTTACTTATACAGGTGTATGTAACAAGGTACAAATTCAAGAATGCCGTTATGGAACAGCTGTGGCAGACATTCTCCGAGGTGAGTTAGCTGGTATTGTTTGTAACTCGACAATTCTATATGCTACTCTAACCCATCTACACGTATAAAGTAAGAAGGTCAGGAAGTAATTTATCAAGAGGAGGCACTCTAACACTTTAAATATTTAGAACCAACATAAAACAATGCCTTACAATATTTTAACTCAAACCGAAGATCAATATAATGAAGGCAATATAATAACAGAAACACTTGAAATTGGAATATTGGATTTATTATTGTATAGAAAAGATTGTGCTCTTGTTGTAATGACACGCGTGGATATGATTTCACTCAGTTAAAAGAAAAACCGGAGTCCGTTAAATCGTAATGATAGGTAAAACATGTAAAGGGTCTGAAATCTCGTATATTTTACCTGCGTTGGAAAAGCTCGTTCAGTGATTCCTAGTGGCTACATTCACTGTGACGTCCCGTTTTACAGGCTGTTGAGAACAAATTCGTGATAGGCGAGATTATGGATACGTGGACACGACAAATGGGGTATCCCGTGGTGACCCTCAGATCTGACGGCGATCATTATATTCTTGACCAGGACCGTTTCCTTCTCGATGGCAACTCCAGCATGGGCGATCCAAGTCCATATGAGTAAGTATTGAATGTTTTGATTCTCATTTCAGCTATTTTACAAATGGTTCTATTTTGAATATGACTGCCTTCAGCAACAATCGTCTATGGCCACGTTTCAATTGCGCTTGGCTATTCAGTTTTATCAAATCAATTTAAGGTATGGCTTATTTTGTGTTATTCATTCTATCTTAACACTGTCGTTTCGTAGTCTAATTCTTGTTGCAAATTGTCTCTGTCGAATAGCATGATTTACGTTTAAGAACGAAAATAAGTCGGTTATCCGTCTTTTATACAATCGTTTATCAGAAATATTTTTGGCACGAACTATAACAAAGACATCATGACAGTGTCAATGTATGAATAAAAGTGTTTAAAATATGTATTTATGGTGCCCCTCGGACGACAACGTTAATGAACATGACCATGAAAATGTCATGTACTTTTCAGGTACAAATGGCATATTCCGTTTACTTACGTAACTGAAGCGGAACCAGATATTAACAACCGGAAGATAGTATGGTTGAACATGGATTCAGGTAAAAACGATTTTTCATTAATTAAGTGATTAAATGTCAAATCACACGTAGTAATTAAATTATTGTTGGATAATTTTGTAATTTGAAGATTGAAATATTGTAAACGTGTGCGAGGGGTTTTAAATCTCTCCGTTGCTTTGGCCACTGGTAATTCAATTCCGGGACCTATATTTGAAGATTTGATTTGGATTATTACACGTATGAGAACAATGTTGATCATCTACAATGGAAGTATTCAAATTAGCATTAAAAGGAGATATACATTTAAGCATTAGTGGATGGAGGGGGATTTATGAAATATACTTACAGTATAAAAGAGACATCAATGTACGAGAGAAGATACTGTACAACCTCCGCTTGCTTCCATCAGGTCCAACAAGATTGATCAATATCAGCTCAAAGCTTGTTTTGCTAATTTTGTAAAATGTATAAAGTTTATATGTGATTCTAAAAATGGTAACAATTTCTTGTCCTATTGGTTCACTGAGAAAGAATATTGAAATACACTAACCGTGATATTGACGGAAGAGGATAAGAGGGAATAATATTATCATGATACTGTGTAATACTATGTCTGAATAAGATTCAGGAACACAATAACAACTATTAGCATTTATTCTTGACAAAAGGAATCATTTGTTACTGTTTTAGCGCGGATACCGAAAGGTGAAAATCAGTGGATTCTGGGTAACGTGGATTACATTGGTTTCTATCGGGTTAATTACGAGCTCAGCATGTGGCGATCTCTGGCTGAACAACTTAACGAAGATCACACGGTAATAAACAATTTCTCTTATTTTAATATCATTTCGATGTGAAGAACTATATAGTCAGCATCAGTTCCGCACTATCAAAATTATAGCGCAGCCAATAAAAATCTTAACAGGACGTTAACCAATATACAAACATATCAAGATTCGTTCATTTGTCTTTGACTTCTACCTACCCAGTATAGGATTCAATAATAAAGTGCTGGGTACTTTGTCGGTAAAACGAGGAAACATTACACTTTTTACAAAATAGTAATTTATATCAATACTCTAGAGGTGTGTCTGAGAATGGTAAACTATCAAAACATTGTTTTGTAGATAATTGCAAACAAGCGGTACAAGTAAGGAATAGCATTAACAGTTAATATAGAGTATTTTTAAACTTCAAAGAGTAACGTCCCTTTACTCAAGCAAATGTTTTTGATGTAAAATGAAACACTGTTCAGTCGAAAAGAATACGGGTAGAATTATAGACATATACAGCATTGTCGAGGTATTTGATTAAAATGTATATGACTGTAGAAACGGACAATATCGAAATACCATTAAGGTCTAATTTCACGACCATTGGTCATGATGAACATGACATTATATCATTTTATTTAATGAAATTTTTGTGCAGGTTTTTGCTGAAGCAAACAGAGCGGGGTTGATCGGTGATGCCTTCAACTTAGCAAGGTATAACAGCTCGTTCTCATATTTATAACCTAACAGTGTATATCAGGATTTTACCTATTTAGAGCTTAATTTACAATTTTGTTTTTACATGTACATGCATTTGAAGACTGTGATTATGTATAGAGATAACGTTATTGCAAAGAAAAATTACTCCGTGGCATTCAAGCCAAATAACACTTCGACTAAACATCGACCATTTTAATATAAATCTTCTAGCATTTAAATAAAAGACTGTGGCGTTCATTGCATGAATATTTCATCAAACAAAAATATAATACTTTCATTAATCAGTTCAATGTGAATTCCGTAATATGATATAGAGGTTATTACTTACATGAACTTAGACCTTCATTTTCTTTCTATGCATTAAGTAAAATGAGTTATATGTTTCCCTTTGGCACTAGGGCCAAGCTACTGGATTATGACGTGGCATTCAATATGACGACATATCTAAATAAGGAGGAGCGTTACGTCCCTTGGGAGGCTATGCTTGAGTCTATCAGGTTCATCAAAGGCATGCTATCAAAGCAGGGAGCGTACATACTTTTACGTGTAAGTTCAATTATTGCTTTATCTATAAAGGAAAGAGGAAGATATTGTAATCTTTAAATTTTAGAATTTGATATAGATAAAGATACGAGTTTTACCTTTTTATACAAATATTAACTGAAAGAATGCATGTCCTTAATGCGATAGAAATAAAAGAATCCCCGATCTTAAATTAGAGTTTTGAGATTTTTCAATCTCAAGTTTATCTATGCGTGGAGAAAGAACATAAATTGCAATAATTAACCCACACAGTTGATTATAAAAATAAAGTTAGGAAAACTACCTTCAATTCAGATTAATATTGTACAAAAAATGTTTTTGATATCCTTTTTCAGCAATACTTGCATGACCTTGTGGCCCCGGTATATGACAAGGTCGGGACGTCACCAGGCGGAATCTTGCCTGAGAAGTATGAATGCTTTATTAATAATTACCAATCATCGAATGAAAAGCAAATGCATGTTTGAGATAGAAATGTGAAGAAATGGTGTAAACCTAAGCGGGGCAAAGTTGTACATATCGGTCAAATCAATTTTCTAGACCGAATCATTTTATATACAAACAAAATAGAAGGAAACATGTTTTGATTGAGTTTATATCCTCAACTAGGTACCTCCGAGAGGTCATACTAACTACAGCCTGTGACGTAGGTGTCACCAAGGCTATAGACTACGCCAAGGAGAAGTTCCGGCAGTGGAAGGAAGATGGAGTTCAGTGAGTATATATAATGTATAAAGGTTACCATGGTGATCATAACTGGTCCTTATAGCCAGGTAAACTTTATTTAAGTAATGCTAAGGGCCTAAATTTTGCACTAGCCCCATAATTCTATTAATTTAGTATTTCTATATATTTGGTAAGAACGTCACGTGTAATTGGAATCAGTTTAGATGTTACATGCAGGTTGTTGTAAATCTTAAGAACTCCAGCTTATCCTACCGCTTGCTATCTCGAAGATTGTATAAAAGACCCACAAGTAAATGGAATATCTCAAATATTCTAAAAATTTGTGAGCGCTTTAATCGTTGTGTGATATTTCATTATACTGTTTGTTAAAGGTACACCACGACATCATACTAAATTTAGTCATAAACACCTATGTTCCTTTTTTATGCTTTTTTCAGTATAAAGATGACTAAAACTCTGTTTTAATATAGGGATCTTTTATATATTATCAACGCCAAAATCTACCAGCCTCTATAAAATGGCCAACTCTGTCAACAGAACCAACTTGCCTATGTTTTTGTAATACCGTCCTTTCATACTTTGATAGAGATATATTTGTTTGAACTTTGCAAACATAGTTCTGTGTTAATTGAAATTTGGGTAAGGCATGACATGTGCGCACTTTTTTCTATAGTCAATCAACGGAGAAACAATAAATATTGAGTTTGGTTATACTAATGTATTAGCAATCATTTAAAAATTTAAAACATTTATGGAATACAAAGACATTTCATGTCTACATTTCAGACCTCCGTCTCACTTCTCCCTGACGATCTACTCGGTGGGTGTACGGGAGGGTAGTGTTGAAGAATGGGATCATGTTTGGAATCGTTCACAGGTCTCGAACGTCGCAGCGGAACGGCAAATGCTTATGGAGGCGCTTGCGCAGACGCAAAAGCCTTGGCTGCTATGGAGGTAAACATCATCTACTGATGGTTTGAGAATAACTAGCAATTGATTTAGTGTTTATATTGAACAATATTTTACCTTGTAATGTCTGTCTTGCGATATATTTTTCATTCCGTCTTCCGTTTTCCATCTTGCAGATATGCAAATTGGATTTTTGACGAGACAAAAATAAAGCGACAAGACGTACGATTGGTTGTGAGCTACTTCGCCAAGAACCCGCTGGGACGTATGATTGCACTTCATCTTCTTATGAATAAATGGGAACAGCTCAATGAACAGTAAGTCGTCTTTGTATCACGTGGAAAATCGATGTTTTATTGAAGATATTCGTCAGTAATTAAATGCTACAACATACATCCAAATATAGAATATTTTGTACTAAACTGGAATTTGTTCGTGATAATAAACGGACCGTAAATGTCATGACGTCACGAACGAGGATGGTCTACATACACTTCACCGGTGCAACGTATGCGATAGTCAGAAATTAATGACATTTCCGTTTGTGAGCTCCAAAATCAAAAGATATACGAGACAATGACATCTGGTTTTACATGTAAACTAGTATTGAAAAGTGCAAAAATATACATGTACATTTGACAAGTTTGGATATATAAATATACATGTTGTGTTATTTATAAGACGACACGTGCTTTTGGTTTCCAATGGCAATGTAAATGCTAGTCTAAAATTATGATCAATTTAATGACAACACTCTATATCCCTGATCTTTTATTTTATTGTTGTTTGGTAATTTGAATTTTTAGATTCGGAGCGGATGGTTTTCTTTTAAGAGAAACAATTGCGGAAGTGACTCAATTTGTCAACACGGAATTCGAATTGGACCAGGTACAACTTTTTTGTCAGATGTCAGTTTGATAGATAGAAACGTGGAAGTATGGTCATTTAACGAAAAACGATACCGATGTATTACTACAATATCAATGGATGCATTTGTAGTCAAAATCAAGGAAACGTAGAATTTTTATCGTTTCACATTCCTTGAAAAGTACAGGGTAGATTAACTGCGAATTTTCATCAGGTCAAGATATTGTATCGCTGTTCCACATCCAGCAACAAGTAATTCGCTGCAGTCATGATTTAAATGTTTAGCATGTTTTGTCACCTATTTCCCAAATATCTGCAAACAGTCATATTTGTATTCAAATAACAGATCGTATAATTTTATCACTTTGGATGTTTTCAATTATTCAGTTTTAAGTATGCTTATAATATTTTTATCGATTTCATCTTCAACTTTTGGATTTTTGAAAAATTATGATGATAACAACTAGGCAAGTCGAACAGCACAACGGTAACGCGCATGTCTTTCATTTACATGATATACCGTAAAATCACATATTTTCGTGGGCTAGATTTTTGCGATATGAAAAAAAAACAATTTCGTAGACAATATATTTGGTGGATAAATAAAGCCATATAAACATAATTGTACAAGTTGCAACAGGTCTTGGATATATGAATTCGTGGATTAGGAATACAGACCAAATCAATGAAAATAAATATCCCACGAAAACTTATGATTTTGCAGTACATATATATCTTTAATTACTAAAGGCCTCGGTTTATATATTTGTTTTCATATTCCAAAAGTTTAAATCAGTTTGTATATAAAATTGAAATAGGACTGCCATTGATCCCGCGAATGGAATGACTAAATGTTGGTTTAACTATCTAAAATTAATATTTCAGCTGGCGACGTTATTCAGCGCAAAGATGCCTGCAGTAGCATTTAGAGAAACGAGGAACTCGTTAGAGTTGATAAGGTTACAACATCTTAAATTTGATTTATTATTCTTTTGAAAATATGTGGGTTATTTTTCTCAAGTCATTGTTACATCAAGCACACTTTTGATAATATTAACCTTTTATATACATTCAAAAATAATTTTCCCTATGAATACATATAAATCTTGACTGTAACATATCTGTTTTTTTTCAAAATAGTGTCACAGCTGTTTTATGGGTCTATAAATGGCATCAGCTGATAGATTGATAACATGCATAGTATTTGCACTGCATGCTTGTATTGTCAATAATAACGGCATATCACGGCCTAACCATTTCAAGGGAAGCAACTCTTACATGTGAAGTGTCTTATTTCAATTACTTATTTGACCGAGGTTTATATGGCGGATGTTGTTGCTTCTGTTTCTATCGATAAAAATAAACCATTTTTTTTATTTCAGAGGAAACATCAAATGGATGAAGGCAAACTACCAGACAATATCGGATTGGCTGCGTCTTCACGTGGTCGGAATGCTATAAATAACACACATAGGTATATAATCATATTTAAATTTATTTTTATTATATAATTAAAAGTCACAAAACAGAAACAATTGTACATAATATAATGTTGTATATTTTGTTTATTACAGATAAGTCATACCGATTGATATAAATTACTATGTAATTGATCTAACTATTATGAAATATAAAAAATAGATATAAAATATATTAATATATTCATATGATTATTGTAAGTCAGTGTAAATAAATGTGGTAAAAACACTGTAATGTATACATTGATAAATACGATGTTCTAGAGAGGATATACAGTATATTGATTTATCGTTTGTGACGTAGCATACCTTATTAGCTATATTCTTACGTGTATGTGAATATATTTTGTGAAACACTTAGTGTAATAAGAATAAGCTTCACAGTAATACATCATACGTACAATGTTGAACATCTTTATTTGTTTACTTAAAACATTGGTAACTCCGGCAATTTTTATTCAGTTCAGGAACAATTCACAAACGCATATTCATTGATATGAATTTTCGTGTTAAAATGATTTTAATAATTTCAGTATGTTCCCGACATACAGCTGTCCCCATCATCTTACTGTATTCCGAGTGAATTTTTACTGTATAGTGATATCTATCACGTCGTTTTTTAGATGTACAAAAAGTTGTTTTGGATATTAGCACCATGTTTGTTTTTCATTCCTTTTAATTATTTTGTTAAAAAAATGTTATCGTTTTAAGTTTTTTTTAATTCCCCATTCAGTATGTACAATAAGGACTCCGAAGTTTGAAAAGTTTGGTCCATGTCTCGGGAAATGTTACACTTATAATATAACCAGAATCATATCTGATAATATGGATGACACCGTCTCCTCATGGCTTGGATTTGTTTATGAAATGTAATTAAACATAAATGTATTTTTCTGTTATATCGTTTTTATCTTATTGGCAAGAATCTGAGACGGGGAGAAAACCGGCATTTAATTTCATGCCGAGCAAAGTGTTACAACTAATAAGAAAACAATATTTTATATAACCAGGTGCCATTTCCGGAAACAGGAAACCTCTCTGCCAACATTATAACATCTATTTTACTTTCTTTATGTACAGGTTGATGTAAATACATTTGATATGTGTATGAAACTTATATAAGGTGATATTCACAGAAACTGTAATGTTGATGTTAATTTAACGTAACATTGACTTGATCAATGCGGAAATATAATCCATGTATTGTCTAATCTATAGTTTCATTATCTTAATCACTTATTTATATAATAAAGAAATAATTTTAAGGTCAAACTTGAATTAAGATTTATCCAATTTCAGTAACTTGTTTAAAATTCATGGAAGCTAATAACAATATTGATTTGTAACGTCACATTTGTTTATGATATGTCATTTCACAATTTTTTCAACCAACCTGGTATTGCTGTCGAGAAAGGACTCAATATGTCAAAACTATAGACCTGCATGTGATCATGGTTGTAGTCTGGCTGATCAGTCAAGTCTGACGAAAACAGACATTTAATATTCTAGGATGTGGAGGGATTTCCCGACATTGTCTTATTTTATTTCACGTGGACTTAAATGTGTCATGCGCCAATAAAGGGATTTCGATCGTAAAAACATGATACTAAGTAAATCTATATTTAGCTAAATGTCCACATTTCTTGCTATTTTCTTCTGTTGTGTTAGGCTAGCCGTATTAGAATCAGATATAAACACCAGCAAAAAAATAATACAATCGGACTAACTTGTCAGATTGTCTATTTTTTGTAACTTTTATTTCATATTTGTTATATGTTCATGTGAAGTATGTCTCCACTTTGTCATTAAATATGATTTCGATTCAATATGAAGTTTATGTTGAGGAAACCATTTTGATGAATCGGTATCATTACGTTATTAATAAAAGTGTATATATGTATACAACAATTTAAACAAACATGTAATTTATAAAAGAATTATCATTTTAGAGTTATATTATGTTATCCGGTCTAAATTAATAATGATTCAAGAGACAGGGCTGTCGCCCTAAGCTTTGTGAATACATTTGTTGTTAAATACGTTGTGGCTGTTAAGTGCAAAGTTATATGTATATTTTGTTTATATATTAAATATGGCAAGATCATGTAAACAAATATCATATTATGTAAAGTTTAACGTTTTGTACTACTTGTTTGTGTTATCAAAGTAATCAATAAAACACAACAAAATATCACGTTCTGTATTATTTCCGGAATATAAACATCCATTTGACCCCTAAGAGGTCAACTTACGTTATGTGACAATTCTCATACATTCAAGATCTGGACAACATTCAAAACAATTGTATATAAAGGACATATATTGAATGCTTTGTCATATATATATAACATTATTAACATTTTAAATGTGTAAATTACATATAACTTGTCACATTTTGTATCTAGGATGACGTAGCTCTGATATCTAGACAAATGCATATTGAGACATTTGTGTCAAAAACTACACACCAGTATATGTTTGCATATGAAAAAGGCAAATCATCATAGTTTGCTAAACGCGTTAACTGTCAAAAACGCAACCTGTGTACAAAAACACAAAAAAAAACAATGAACAGAAAAAAATCTATATCATAGCTAGTCGAAACAGTCGTTATGGTGCCAAAAAAATAACCAAGGTTCCGACGAGTTTCGAACTCGTGACCTTCTGCGTGTTAAGCAGACGTGATAACCACTACACCACGGAACCTTACTTACGTCACTATGGAATACAACATCATCTGCATTAAGGTGATGTGTATTATGTATGTAAACCGAAAGTAAGGATTTTACAAAAAAACACAGAAAAGAATAGCACCATGTAATACAAATAAGGATTATATACGATAGAGCCATTCAGCTGTCGTCAGATTTGATGATTGTTAAATCGAACTTGCTGTGTAACAATGCTCCAACTTTCTTGATAAGTATTCGGTCATAGTAATCCATCAGGCCAAATGACCTATATTAGTTCCGATAAAACTTGATAACATACCGGCTTTATGTCTACAACTCGACAAATCGTTTGTTTGTAAGTTATAAGGTAATGCTATACATATGTACAGTATCATGTTCCAGCAGCTAGCAGACCACGTGGTTTATTTATCAGATCAATAGACAGCCGTTCACAACTATAGAGAGAAACATCGTGTTTACAGGAAATGTCAATAACTGTCCGTAAAATCTAGAAGTAATCAGACGTTTCCACGGTGTATGTCCAAAACATTCTGCTGTTTTTTGTTCGTGTAACGATGTTTCACTTATTTTAATGATTGCGTAGAAGCCAAATAATAAAAGCCGAAATATTAAGTTTTTTGTCAACTTCATCAGCTTAATATTGTGCTATATTTATTTCACGATTAACAACACATCTATGTTAACATTAAAAGTGTGTAAGTTCCGAACGACATCATGTAACGTTCCGCAGTTCAGCATTGAAGAAGTGATATTGTCATTGAAGGACTGCCTCCAATTGTACGCGATGTATGGAGTGTATGGTTGTGTACTACTGTCAAATGCCCCCAGCAGGACACCTTATCTTACATTTAATTGACATCAAGCAAACCAGTAACATTTCAAAATAAAGATAAATGTTATTCCTTAGGAAAGGAAACCAGAGATATTTGAATAAAAAAATTCAAAGGATAACAGTCCCACAAATGAAGAGTTTTAACTTACAAACAACAGTGCTGAAGGTAAGAAAGTCGGTGATATAAAACACGAGAGTAACCATTAAGATATATGGCAATATCATACATGGCGAAACAATCTGTTTTGTTCGTTTTTCAAAAAGTTTGAAAAGTGGAAATGAGAGTATGTAGATAACAAAGAACTCATCGATCTTTGGGACGACATCTAACGAGCCATCTTAAATAGAGAGCAGAACTTATGTGACTATCCAGAAATGGCCAGATGTTACCTTATCCGTCGTCCTTCTATAAGTTCGCCAACCGAAGCTGATCTTACATCTGCAAATATCCTTTATAGGATGGCATGCGGTGACAACTTCAGTAAGTGTCACAACTTGGATTTGTAGAATAGCTATGTGTGAAAAACTTTCTTCTATTTTTACACAAAAATCCCCGGTTAATTCGAGAATCTGCGGCATTTTTGTGGCCCGATATGGGTCATCTATTGAAATATTATTCAAACATATTCAGAATACTGATACGGACTAATTTAACCCAGTATTACGACTGCATTAAAGTTCGGGTTACTTGTTCACGAAATGAATTTCTATGATAGGTCGCAACAACAAATACGAGTATTTTTATTAACTTTTAAGAAGACCAGAGGAAAATCTGGGCTTGAGGAAATCTCAAGTTGAGATGTTTTATACAAGTGGGGCCAGATGACCTCTATAATGGTGATGCTTATAACTATATGTTCATATGGGTTAAAACATTGCAATCATCGTTGCATTTCTTTTTCCTCATAGTATCACATATCATAATGTATATATAATGTGCGCTTTGAAATTGAGTCTAACACACGCCTCTTCAAAATATCTCAATTATAAACATACAGCACGGCTCGCCAGTATCGTACCTCATTCGGTATATGTTACATATCAACCTACCTGCAGCGTGATAAAACATCTTGCACGTGCAAGATCATGTCCAATAATAAATTGCTTTTTAAAATGTAAAACAGAACAAATGTTATCTTTTGATATGATGTTTGTACGTGTCATTATCAAAACAGTAACCTTATTATACATTATACACCAAAGATTTGAATGAGTGTATTATTTCCGTAGATACCACCAACAGCATAAAACTTATCTGCGAGGAAGAAATCGATGGCGTTATGTCATTCCTTGACACCCTCATAGTAAAGAAAGAAGACGGTTCTATTAAAGTATTTATCGGTTACAGTTCCAGATCAATAAATCTGTACCTACAGATCATTCCACACAGCAAATGCATATCATTGACTGGGAAAAATCCAAAATAATCGGCCGGAAAAACAATCATTTCAGACGATTGGTTAAGGAAGCCGTCTGGAAACGCCGCAGTAGGCCAATACTTGATAGGGATGAGAGGGTCACAGACTCTCGCATATCTAAGACCAAGTGTTAAACAAAGAGTAGCCGATTTGACTACA